CTGCATGCATCCTGACTATCTAGGATCTGCTGAAGTCTCCCCTTCACACTGGGGACACAGCTTCTGAGACGGCAGCTGACAAAATACTGAATTGTGTATTGAATTGGGTGCCCACAGGATGGCTAGACAAATGTCCAGGCCCAGAATTTCAGAGCTTTTTCATGTGAAAAGATGAGCTTTCAGCTCCTAAAGGTGCATCCTTTGGGTAAATAGGGTCATAGTTCCCAGCTCATTAAGACCCAGAGTGAAGTCTCTGCACGAGGGCCATCCGGGAATAGTCCAGATGAAGGCACTCGTGAGGAGCTACCTTCGGTGGCCTGGGCTAGATAAGGCTATTGAGGCCCAAGTACATGGTTACATCATGTGTCAACAGTCCAGACCGGAGATGCCACGAGCCCCTGTCCACCAATGGGAGGATACTCACACAACGTGATCAAGAATCCACATTGGCTTTGCTGGGCCTTTCAGGGACAGCTATTTTTAATAGTGGTTAATAGCCATTCAAAATGATTAGAGGTTGCACCAGTTCCCAATATGATTACTGCCAGGACTATCCAGGAACTGCACAGAATCTTTGCAACACATGGGCTTCCAGATGTCTCATACTGAGACAATGGGGCTCAGTTTACTGCTTCAGAATTCCAGTCCTTCCTCAGGACAAACCTCATAAGGCATTCCACGTTGGCTCCCTTTTACCTGGCCTTAAACGGCCAAGCAGAATGCATGGTCTGCACAACCAAGGAGTCCCTAAAATGGATTGTCACAGGAAATTGGCACCACAGATTGGCAGACTTTCTACTCTGCCAGTGTACAATTCCCTGCACAGCCATGGGCAGAAGCCCAGCCAAGCTATGTTGAGGCTGACGTTTGATCACTAAGCTGGACAGGCTCCACCCCGACGGAGTTGCATCAGACTCTGCATGGCCAAGGTGCCCAGAAGTCTGCAAGTGGGTGACCAGGTTTTGATCCAGAATTATGGGCAAGGGGTTTTGTGGATGGCAGCAGTGGTTGTAAAGGTGTTAGGGCCACTTTCCTATGAGGTGGTCCTTGAAGATGGGCGAGTCATTTGCCGGCACATTGATCAGCTGTGTCAGCGGCTGATGGATCAGTCACTGGCTCAGGACTCCCAAGAGAGCCACACACAGGGCCCGCATGACAGGGGTCCAACAGAAGGGTTTGCACACTACCACAGGACCCTCCCTCAAGGAGATGGGGGAATGGCCGTAGTAGAGCCTCCTCCGGACACACAGACTGCATCAGCTGAACAGGACAGGCAAATGGCGCTGAGAGATAGCCCTGCAGACTTTGCTGCACGAGTGGACTTTGGCTTGGACCGACCGGGACTGGCCAGCCAAAGGGACTCGAGGCAAACCGACTCCACTGAATCTCTGAGTCCTGGTCTACCCAGCCTGGCAGGCAAGCAGGTAGACCAGGGAACCCCGGCAACACTTAAGCGTTCTGAAAGGTCAAAAAGGCCACCTAAATATCTGCAAAATTATGTCAAACAATTAAGAGTTTGAACTATCTAGGGGGAAGGGGTGTAATATATTGGTCACAATTGTTTTGAATCACTTGCTTAATGTCTAATCACTTGTTTGAATGTCTGATCTAGATTCTGTTGTTATGTAATGGTTGCTGTTACTTAAACCAGACTTGCTATCTCCAGGCTGGTAATTAGGTTTTGGGTGGGAAACTGTTACTTTAAAGTTATTGGCTGCCGCCTGGAGGCTAACCATATAAATAGCTGCACAGCAGCTATTTGAGCTGCTTCTGTTCAGAGTTAAATAAACTTGTTGCTGTTTCAACACTCGTCTCACTTAATGTCTTCAAGAACCGAATACTTAACAAGGAGAATCACTGAACGCCATTGCTCTGCCCTCCATTGCACACTGTATGCTCTGAGGCTGAATGGTCTTTCCAGTTGCAATGCCTCACCTTCTGACAGCAGGCACAGCTGTTTCTAGGGTTTGGTGATCAGCAAATCTCCGGATCAGGTTGATCAATCTCAGCTGATTGAATTCTCCAAAATTCCTCAGACTGAAATCCAACCTGCTGTCCCACAGGACGATCTTGGGTCAGATTCCTGAGAATCAGCACTAGGCATGCCATGTAGGCATCTGCATTTGACCATCCTAAGCATTATTTTTGTAGTATGTGAATTTAAAAATATTGTACAATAGTTTGTGCGCTTTCTTAAATCTCCTTTCTTTAATATCAATACATGGAGTTATCTCTTCCAATCTTTAGATAATTGTGTTGTTCTCTAGATTTACAGATAGTTTTGGTTAAAATCTTTATGGATTCTTCTGTTGCTTCCCATTTTTCTATAGATGTCCCATCAATACCATTATCTTTCTGACTTGGTAACAATTGAAGTGCTGATCTTCCATCACTTCTAGTACCAGAGGCTCTGATAAATAAAGAAATAACTTCTGAAGTATTGTGGATGCTGCCATTGCTAGTATACAAAACTTCAGTATGTTATATATAATATACATATACATATACATATATGTCCTTACTGACTGTAAAAATCCAAATCCTGGGCATATCTATTTAATAATATAAAATCTTCGAACTCTGGGAGGAATATAAATCAGTTGTTTATTGTTAAAAATTTAAAACAATAAAAGCAACTATTTACAATACTAAAACAAACTTAGCTTTCGCTGATCCCCTGTCAGCGTCTTCAGAGTGTTGGGGGTGGAGAGATCTCTTATAAGCCTTGATAACCTAGTTTCTTACTCACTTACCGTGTGATAGGGCCATTCGTCCTGACTGACCATAATTGCTTTGACTGTCCCGCCTCCCCTTGTTTGCACTCCAGTTCCACAACTTCTCTCCCTCCCCTCCTTGTCCATCTTCTCCTTCCTGGTGTTGTTGCCGTTGGTATGCCTTCTAGCCGCTCCCCCGCACTCGCTTTGGGCCGCGGGTCTGGATCCAGTATCCCAGATGCTCTTTCGCTGCTGTTCCCCTCTCTTCCATTCCATTTATCTGCCTGTTGCTCCTGTCTTCCACTGTTTATCATTATGAGTCCTATTTTCTCCAGTTTCCCCTCATGTCTGGGTGTGTGTGCCTGCAGCCCTGCCCTTCCCATCTGTCTGCAATCAGCTGGGCTGCCTGCTGGTTTGCTTCTGAATTCACTCTCTCTCATCCTTGCCAATCCTATCCTTGCATCCACTGGCTGTCTCCCCGCGGTCATTCTGGGCTGGGTGCTCAGAATTGGCACTGTCAGTGCTTCTCCACTGCTACCCCCCTGCTCTTTCTTACCCTGCTGATCCATCCACTATATTCCTCCCAGAGTTCGAAGATTGTATATTATTAAATATACATATACATATACATATACATGTCATAAAATAAATCAATCACGACCACCAGGAAAAATCCAAACTGGAAAAATTTAATAAATATCGAGCTTTCGTCGGAAACTTGTTTTCACTGACATTATTAATCATATACATATACATATACATATACATACAGTGGTGGGATTCAGCCAGTTTGCACCAGTTTGGCAGAACCGGTAGCTAATTTTTTGTTGCCCAGACCCAGAATGGACTCCCGGAAGTGGCATCCACACAGAGAACTGGTTATTCACATATTTGAATCCCACCATTGTATATACAGACAAACACAAACACAAACAGATATAGATATAGATGAACCATTATATCACTTCATTTCTGTTTTCTAAATGATATAGTTCAGTTATATTTCCTTCCTTCCTGTTACAATACAATACAAAATACAATTTTGACATTCTAGTCCCCAACTATAGTTAACACGTCCAGTTTCCAGTTTCTTCTTTTTGAAGCTTACCACAATACTTGTCAACCACCTATTTTGCATTAGGGATTAGATCATAAACTTGGCTGTCTGTCATTTTAAAATGTTGTATATGAAGTCTAATCAATCTTATTCAGTTCTGGACTGCATTGTACCCAAGTACTGCCCTTGCTGTTTCTTTCCTGATTATAAAGGCAAGCATCCAATTTAAATCTATTGCAATTAGCTGATGTTTCATATGTTAAATGAATTCATTTCATTTTTCACTGTTTTGAACTTTCTCACATTGTTTTCCTTTCCTGTTTCCACTGTAATTATCTTTGCATCTTTGGAATTTCTTTCAATGCATGACAACTTTGTTAATTACATGTTTGTAATCCTTTAATCTTGTTGCCTCATAAGCACTAAATAGTCTGCAAGATGTACACTCTGCCTTCATATCGTGTTGATTATCTGACTTGAGATACCCATTATCTAACATTATTTTCTCAATCACTTTATCTTATTTATCCATGTGATTTTCCATTGCATTCTCTAAGTATGAAGTTACTCTTTTGTCTTGTTACTAAATGACAATCTAGCTTCTGTATTTTACATTGCTGCTCCCTTATATAGCTATGTATAGCTTTGTTGACTTTGGTAGGAGAATCCTAAATACTCCCAGGATTCTTCACCCATTCATTTGAGAAACACCTGAATCCTGCACTCTACTGCCACAATGAGGCAGCAGAACAGGACTGAGGTGGGGAGATAGGTTCTAAAATTAAACTTTCAGCCAAGTTTACAGCATGTTAGCAATCTTCTAGATATTTTAGATTATAGCTCTTTTAATCCCTGGTTATTAGCCATGCTGATTAGAATAGACATTCATAAGACAAAGCTTCAAAAAGGCAGAAAATTGTATGTTCTCCTCTCATTTTCTATCTCTTTTCTTTAATTCACAACTACAGTATGTTGACATAAGTGTCTCTCTCTATACCATTTTGAACATGCACTGGCATCGGGAATGAAATTAGAAGTGATTATGTTCTTGAAAAAGTGAGGGGTTGGAGCATTTCCATGCCTAGAAGGATTTAGAGTTTTGGAAGCAGCCTTATAAAATGCTGATTTTTTGCAATACTTCTCTCCCTGAATGGGTTTCCCAATTCTCTGCTTTTCTGCTTTTGGTATTTTACAGAAGGAAGCCCTTTAAAAGTAACTGTTGGTGATGAGGCTGCTAGACTCCCATAGAGAGCTGTTATGGAACTTATTCAGTTCTTACCCAGAATATTCTACACAGTTGTTTATTATTCTGTTTTTTTTTTAAAAAAACCTCAACAATCCTCATTAATCCAGCTCCAGTAATACTATCCAGTTTTATACCTCCCACCGAGGGAGGAGGAAGCCTTCCAAGAACAAATCTGGAGCAACAGAAGGTTAATAGCAGTGTGGGTAGCTGATAAAGGTGTATATAAAGTTGTTTGCAACATTTAACAGAACGAAGAGGTAGAGTCATTTCAACTTTCCACAGGGAAAAAAAGCAAACGGCCCAGGAGTTAGTGGAACAGCATTCCTCAGTGCTTTCAACCAGGATGCCCCCTCAATCAGGAGCCAGTGCAAGCAAGCCAGAGACTGAGCTAGGGGTCCCACGGCTCTTCACCTGGGAGGAGGTGGCGCTCCGCACAGGCAATGGAGACTTGAAGGAAGAGAGATGGCTGGTAATCAACCGAAAAGTCTATGATGTCAGTCAGTTCTATTTGCAGCATCCAGGTGGGCCTCGTCTCATCAGACACTATTCTGGACAAGATGCCACGGTAAGTCCTTGCTGAGGGGAAAGAGGGTTGGAATGACCTGAAGGCTTCCACAAAACACTTGCTTTGCATGCACACATTCCAGGTTGAGGGTGTCTCTTCCTCAGTCTTTCTCCAAGGGTCTCGAATAGCAGAATGAGGGGAAAGAATCTCTCTTGTCAGAAGCCATAGGGAATTCTGGCATTACAGAATATCATTCTGGATTAGACAGTCCAATGCTTTGACACAATGTAAGAAGCTCCAGGTGGTGGCTGTATTGCTTGGCAATTCTGTAGTGTCTGAACAAAATTTAGAAGTGTTATTGGGAAAAGGACAGGGCAGGGGCCTGGAAGCTGACCCCCAGACATAGAAGTTGCTTTGATTTGCTGATTTTCAATTTTCCAGTTTGGGGTCAATGCTTGCCTGCACTTCAGCTACTTAACTTTATTGACTTTTAGACAATGTGAACAAAATACAATTTAGGTTTGAAGACCTGCTCAGAAGGTGTTTTGCATGGACATGGACATAGCTTATATTTTGCCTAAGCAAAATTCAGTCAGGAAGACTTTCTCAGTGAAAATATATGAGTAATATTGGTAGCAGAGAAGTGCGTGCTCTACCAAGGATTGTTGGATTTTAGGATTTTTTAGTAAATACACTGGGGACTGAATTCTATGTAAGTTTGGAATCTGTAGTCTCTACTGTACATTTCAACAATAGTTTATAGACCCAGAACTTATTTATAAGATTTATTTTGATTAAATGTTTAAATGCATACACACACATGTATACACACACATACATGTATATCTAAGCATATGTCATTATTATTTCAGTGTATAAAATATATAAATATAAGCTAAACAAAAAATTCCCAGGTCAGAGATGGACTTTTTTTTATTTACCTGTTGTAATTTGCATGTACAAGTATCAGTGCATGCAAACAGCTGTGTTCTTGCATATCTATCAGAGCTTTCAATCTTGGAAGCATCTGCGGCAGGTAAAAAAAAGGATCACTCTTTCTAGAAACAGACTGTAACGTCTAGACCAGACATGTCAAACACAAGGCCTGGGGGCCGGATGCAGCCCGCAAAATGGTTTCATGTGGCCCACGAAGCCACCTTGGAAACAGTGAGGGAACTGCCCCCACTGCCTTGGCCCTGACCCAGGCCAGTCGGGAGCCAATGTACAATTTTGTGGTGGCCCTCTATGCTGAAATGCATTCAGTCTTAGCTCCATAAGCCCCCCGCTCACATGGCCTAAGAGGAACAGTGAGGATCCTCCAGTGGACCATGCCTTGGCACTTGCCCCGGTCCCAACCCCTTCTGCCAGAGACCCTCAGATCTATCCCACTCCTGCCCAGATCCCCACAGGCATCCTTGATGCAAATAATGTAGAGCTGGCCACACCCACCCAGTAGGCCACACCCACTCTATCCACGCCCACCCAGTAGGCTGCACCCACTCCGGCCCCTTGAGGGAAACCACAATGCTGATGCGGCCCTCAGTGAAATTGAGTTTGATACCCCTGGTCTAGACATATCTGATAAATACCTAATATATTCTGCCCTCAGATTAACCTCTCACTGAAGGTTCTCTTTATATTAAACCACCCATTATGGGACATTCAGGCGCTGTTATGATCAAAACACACACCTGGGAATGGGAAAGGAAAGGGGAAAACTGCGGAATTAGCAGATGAGGGTTCCTTGAAGCAGGTTACCTACTGTAATCATGATGGGTTAAAACCCCACTGTCTTTGTTAAGGCTTTCTGAGATAGCCTGGTACTTCTTGATATATGTAGATTTAGCTGACTCACATTTTTTTCTGCTGGTGAAGGTTTTTGTGAATCTGTACTTCAATATAGACTGTGCATTGGATGGTATATTCTGGATGAAAACTGGAAGCATGTAGGTATGCATGGTGATTTATGAGCTTCCTGGTGTTTATGTGTCCATTATGTAGTTTATGCATCCATGATGGTCTACTATCAGAAAAATGGACTTGTTGTTGAATATATCAAGGCTTAGGTTGATAATGGGACTGAAGTATTGGAAGCATTGAAGTCCTGATGGAATTTAATGAGGGACTGTTTTCTTGAGTACAGATCATGAAAATGTTATCAATAAATTTCATATGAATTCAGGAGTTAAGAGTTGAAAACATTTGAAATCTTCCATGAATGTATTGCAGAGTGATGTATGTGCACATAAGTGTGCCATTCATACACAGATATATTTGTTACCAGTGTGAGAATAGTGATGAATGAAAGTCATGAAGTCTGGTGGTAAACTGAGCTGGATTGTCATTGGTTATTATTTTCTTGATAATTTGGAGTCCATGCTTGTCCATGCTTGTCCATGCTTTCAGGGATGTTGTCAGTGGATTTCAAATTTGTTAGGGAGTATGTAGTCTCTCTTGTATAGCTGACATGGGAGCACTGGTAGCATAAGGCTCCTGAAACATAGACTTTTAGACGTAATGTTTCCAATGTTTGGAACATGGGACAGGATTGCCTGTTTATGTATTTTGGGTAGAAGGTAAAAGATGCCTGATCAAGGTTTCTGCACATAGATTCAATCTTGCATGTACTTAGGAAATTCTTTCAGCTGACTGCACAGTTCATTCTGATAACTCAGTGTGGTACAGGGTCGTCTTTTAGCTTCATGAACTTAATAAGCCACATTCATAATGACAACTATCTCTCCTTTATCAGCTTGTTTAATTATAAAAGCATTATTGTTCTTAGAGCCTTACTCCCTGCTAAGAGTATTGTGCAACTGCAGATTGTGTGCTAGTTATGCCCTTTCCTGGACCAACAATCCCTATTCATGGTCACTCGTGGTCTATCACCTCCCATCTTAACTATTGCAACATACTATACATGGAGCTGCCCTTGAAAAGCCTCTGGAAGCTACAGTTGGTTCAAAATGCAATAGCCCACATGGTTTTGTGCAGACCTCAGTGTGCATATACATCACTTCTCCTATAGAGTTGGATTCGTTGCCAATTTGCTTCTGGGTGCAATTGATGGTGCTGCTTGTCACCTTAAAAGCCCTTCATGACTTGGGACCAGGTTATCTGAGGGACCCTCTCTTGCTGGTCACATCCAGCCAACGTACTAAGGGGGGAGGCAAGGAATATTGCATGTCCCATTCCCTAAGGAGGTACATCTGGTGGGACCCAAAAGAAGGGAACAGTCAGTCCAGGTGCAGCTTGGTATGTGGCTCCCTCCTCCTTTCAGCTGGATGACCTTGGGGTAGCATCTTGAGGAAGTACAGTTTCTACTTTCAATTCCCCAAGCATCCCCCTACTCCTCCCTCCTCCCTACAGTTCATGGCAGTTTGTCACCACATAACAGTAAAGCACAGCAAGTATAAGGTAGCAGCTGACTTTCTTCCCTTCTTGAAATAAGGCATTAGGCTTGGAAATGAAAAGAGAAGGAGAAAGGTTGATTAATTAGTGTTGTTTATCAGGATATTGGGCATGGAATTTATGTAAAAGCTTTGGTGCTCAGACAGGTTGGGCAGCTTCCCATTCAGCTTTAGAGGAGGGGAAATGATTCCATTGAATAAGACATTGTAGTCCAAAATGTTCTTTACTTTGAAATGTTGTTCGTCATCAATGAGATTGGGAGGAGGAGGGGCTTTTGCAGGTGGTTGAAGGGAGATATTTTGGCTGGTTTAAGAAGACTACAGTGGAAAACAGAGTGTATCCTTCTAAGGTTCTTTGGTAACTTAAGTTCAACCGTCATTGCTACAAAGTCTCTGCTGATTGCAACTCAGAAAGGGGCAAAGCCAGTGCTGCCATGTTGTTGTTGTTGTTAATTGCGAAGTCGTGTCCGACCCATCACGACCACATGGACAACGTTCCTCCAGGTCTTCCTGTCCTCTACCATCTTCTGGAGTCCATTTAAGTTCACACCTACTGCTTCAGTGACTCCATCCAGCCATCTCATTCTCTGTCGTCCCCTTCTTCTATTGCCCTCAATCGTTCCCAGCATTAGGCTCTTCTCCAGTGAGTCCTTCCTTCTCATTAGGTGGCCAAAGTATTTGAGTTTCAACTTCAGGATCTGGCCTTCTAAAGAGCAGTCGGGGGTTGATCTCTCCTAGGACTGAGCGGTTTGAACGCCTTGCAGTCCAAGGGACTCGCAGGAGTCTTCTCCAGCACCATAGTTCAAAGGCCTCAATTCTTTGGCGCTCAGCCTTTCTTATGGTCCAACTTTCACAGCCATACATTGCAACTGGGAAAACCATGGCCTGGACTATACGCACTTTTGTTGGCAGGGTGATGTCTCTGCTTTTTAGTATGCTGTCTAGATTTGCCATAGCTTTCCTCCCCAGGAGCAAGCGTCTTTTAATTTCTTGGCTGCAGTCCCCATCTGAGGTGATCTTGGAGCCCAGAAAAATAAAATCTGTCACTACCTCCATTTCTTCCCCATCTATTTGCCAGGAATTGAGAGGGCTGGATGCCATGATTTTGGTTTTCTTAATGTTGAGTTTCAAGCCAACTTTTGCACTCTCCTTCTTCACCCGCATCAAGAGGCTCTTTAGTTCCTCTTCACTTTCTACTCCATTGTTATATGCTACTTCTGCAAATGGGAGTAGGTCAGTCCAATTTTCTTGCTAATAACTGACTAACATCTTAGGTACTGCTCCATTGGTATGTTCACAGACCCCGTTAGTCTGAGGACTAAATCCTTCGGTTGTCCCTAGTAATTTCAAAAACTCTTGCCAGAATTGGAGGTGAATTGCACCCCTCAATCAGAGATAATCCTCTAAGAGGAATGACCTTGTGGAAATGTCTTGAGGAGGTACAGTCTCAATTCCACAAGCATCCCCCTCCTCATCCCCTACAGTTCATGGCAGTCTGTCACCAGATAACAGTGAAACACAGCATGTATAAGGTGACAGTTGACAGGGGAGGTTTTTGTTTTTTAATTTTTTCTATATATTATGTTTTTATTGTTTGCAAGCTTCCTAGAGTCACTATGAGCACATAGACAGCTATATAAATTTTGTAAATAAATAAATAAATAAATTGTGTAAGGAGCTTTGCAGGGGAAGATGATCCTTATTTTCATTTCAGGTAAACTACAAAAACACAGCTTCAGTCCTCAAAATAATCAAGATCATAGAGTTGGCCTCCTCGATAGTCATTTCAGAAGCATCAGCTACATTGCACTTTTCATTATTTTCAAAAAGAACACCTAGCCATGTTAACCTTTTTTTTTTGTTTGTTTGTGTGTGTGTGTGTGTATTTAGGATGCCTTTGCAGCTTTCCACAAGGATGAGAATCTGGTAAAGAAATATTTGAATTCCCTCCTAATTGGAGAGCTTGCCCCAGATCAACCGTGCTGTGAGCCCACCAAAAATGTGAGTATTGGGTGATCTCAGCTGTCGGATTTCTTTTGCAGAACCTTTATTGTAGATACTTAGGCACACATGTGTATGCTTAAGTATGTATATAGGTATGTGTATGTGTATGTGTATGTATATATCCCCATCACACTAATCCCTTTCAGGGCAAACAACATTATACAAAATGCAGAAGTGTAACATTAAACCAATTGAATGAAAGATATAAGGTAAATAAAAGGAAAAATACAGCTAAATCTAGGTTACATCTATACTATCCACTTTATCTCTTCATATTTTTCTATAGAAAGTAAAGATGAATGGCTACTACAAATGTGATAGACAGACAAGAAATATTCTTACAAACTGTAATTGTGTCATCTGTATTTACCATTTCATTCATTGTCTATTGCACTTTTAACTTCTTCTCTCTCTTTTTCTCTTTCCAGTCACAACTTTCTCAGTCTTCCCCTTGACCAATTCACCAATTATTAATTTGTGTTGCAGTTGGATCCCCATTCATTCTTTTTCACTGATCAAACCACCTCACCATATTTATTTTATACAGTCACTCACCTTTGTATTTAATAACCTTAACTTAGGATCTTTTAACCCTACCTCTTTCTTTTATTATTTCTTCAGTATCTCATTCTCATTGCATTACATTTACTTGTATGTTTCTCATGATATAGCAAATTTCCATTTAAGCAGATTTGCAGAAGAATGCTCTTATGTGCAGATAATTTGACTTCTTTTTAACAAAAAAATATTATTTGCAACACACCACATAATACCCACTGCATTCCTATCAGCCATTCCTATCAGCCTAACATTTCTCCATCCAGTTTCCTATATTTAATGAACATTCTATCAAAGGACAAAAACTCATGTACTTTCTCTAATTTTTCAGAATTTAAATGTAATCCTTCATTCCATTTTCTCTCTCAAACAAAATTATCTTAATCTTTGGTACATTATACAGCATTAAATGGTAGAACCTTGAATATGTGATTGTTATGAAGCTCCAGAACATTATAAAAGCAAGCTGATATCTACTCAAGCTAATTTCTATCTGGCTCAACAGCATGTCTGACAGGAACGTAAGGCAACAAAGTCAGAAGTAGTGCACATCCAATGCTTTCAATATTGCACTCAGTCAGAAAACAATCATGTGCCTTCATATACCCAGTTCAAGCAATGATTGCACACTCTACTTCCTCAGTCATCTGACCCTACCAAGTCCCCTGGTGAGGGACTTGGTACCCAATCACCAACAAAATCTTTGCTTCTATCAGTAATAAAGTGGTTTGCTGGTAAAGGATCCTTCTGATTTGATTTCTCATTCACTCGGCACCTGTTCATCATCAATTATCTCACTCAAACTGAACACAATTAATTGGAGAATGTTATGCTCAAGCCCAGAGAAGAGACACTGAGATCCAATTGAGTCCAGTCCTTTATTTATTTACATGTAACAGACAGGATCTTGTTCTATCTTTCTAAACTACTTGATATAGCCTGAGAAATTCTATCTAGAGTATAGTTTCACTTTCCCCCTTCTCCTCAGCTCTGGACTGTGTTGTCTCTTGATCTGGGTCTCTGTCTGGGAAAGTTCTCAGTTGGCAAAATTCTTCCTCTCTGCTGCTGCAGGTGCACATTCCACTAGAGAAAGAGAATTGCTTTAGGTGTATTCCTTAATGCACAAGGGCCAAGGCAATGGAGGAGGAGATCTTCAGCTTCTTTAGAGGTTACTTACAAGTGTTATGGCCCAGAGTGGTGAGAAGCATGGGGCAAAAAGGAATCTATTGTTGAAAATCTAGGATTAGTATCTGTGCTTGTACTGAAAGAGAGCTTTTTAAAGGAGCCAGGGAATCCCTATTACAGATTTTTACTATTGCTATTATATTATTAACTCCAAATATTGATGGCTTGGTTCTTTGTTTTAAGAAACTTAGTGTAAAGACAGAAGTACAGTGGGACGCATTTTCCACATGAAACAATGACGTAGTCAATGACCCTAGATCATATTTTCTGGTCATCAAGTCGCTTCATTAAAATAAATCTTTGGGTATTAACTCCATTCCCTTTATTATTTTGTTGAAAGGAGAATGCATAGTAATTTTTGAAAACACTCTAGTTGCCGTTGCTAAGGACATATGATTGAGAAGATATGATGCCCCACATGAGAGAATCCAAAAACCTTTGGCTGTGGAATCAAGATGATAGAATAGATCATTATTTAGCTGTACTTTGCCTTTATATCATGCACTTTCTTTGAACCTCCAGATGTCATAAATGTGGGTCTCCTTAATTCATCCCAGCAAGCCTGTGTTACAGCTTGCTCTGAGAGGGAACAACTGGAACTAAGTCACCCAATAAGATGTATGGTCAAGTGGTTCATTCTGGTGCAAATCCAACCTTAAATTTAATACATATGACTCAACGTTGGCTTTTGGTCTAGTCTATCAAAAGGGTTTTTATGTTCTGAAGCAAGTAAAAAAACTGTCATCACTTCTTGTAGGAAATGCTGGTAAAGGATTTTCATGAACTGCGTGCAACAGTGGAGAAGATGGGGCTCTTGAAGTCAAGATTGAGCTTTTTTGTTTTCATGTTTCTGCATGCTTTCCTACTAGACATTACATCTTGGTTTATTATCTGGTATTTTGGAAAATCCTGGATGCCTTTCCTTCTTGGAGTAGCAATGTTCACCATTGGACAGGTAACCTCTTTGCATAGTAGAACATAGCAGAGTTGTAAAACAATCTCCAACATATTTAGAACAATTTAATTGCTTTAGTAATTTAACATCTTGTATACTTATTTAGATTTTCAATTCTTTCAGCTGTTGAACCTGAATGTAGTAATACAACTACACACAGATTAAGAAAGGTGCTATTCCTATTGCTTCAGATTAAGAAAAGTGCCTGAGCAAATTACATTGCAGAATATGAATGATATTGCTTCATCTGTTTTGTCTGCTGAAATTAAAATGTTTGGAAGGAAAGCACGCTTCTCCAAGATAATAGTATTTGTTGACAGCATACAGCATATAAAGTATTATATAGTTGTGTATGTGTGTACACACAGACATACACAAATATCTATACATACAGTATATAATCATATAATATATATAGTACAACAGGGGTTCTTTTTGATTAATTAATGGTGATTAATGATGTTCCTCTACCAATTACTCCATTCAGAAAAAATGTGGAAAAATTACATACATATGTGTCATGTTTGTTGATTTTTACTTCCAGATACAATATGGTTTTCTCCAGCATGATTTTGGCCATGTGTCAGTCTTTGAAAAGCTCAAGTGGAACAGAGTAGCTCACTTTGTGGTGCTTGGCATTCTTAAGGTCAGAATCCATCCAAGAGAAGGGATGGTTTAAGTGATGATTTGTGATGATTTATATATTTGAAATTGGGTCTGTCAATCCATTGTTATTTTCTGTCTCTAGGGTTTTGAAAAATATAGCACACTTTAAGCACTGAAGTGCTGACAATATAAGAAAATATAAGATCGTTTTTGCCACAACCCTTAAAAAATGATCATACTAGTAGTGCTTCCTTACATAAAGGAGGGGTGGGGTTAAGAAAAATATAGCCAGTCTATATTTCATAGCTATGAAGCATTTTTAACAGTACTGCACTATATTTGGTTTACTTTTTCACTACTGAAGAGAAACTAGTGGAGTATTTCTAGTCTGTTTTTGTTTCACACATTTAGCATCAAAACTGGAATTTTCAATAGTCAGTCTTGAAAGCAGTTTTTTTCAGATTGTTATGTGCTCCTGGCTACTTTCCTTCGTGACCAGAGGCAAGCTTGCCTGATCAATAACCAGCCAAGACACAGTGAAGGCCTTTTGTTTTGTTTATTGCAATAAGCGGGGAGAGAAGCTATCAAAGCTTGGTTCTCTCCAAAGTTTTAACCCAAAATATTTCCTTCTTTATACATCCCTTGTCCCGGCCACCACATCCCTCCTCTTTCCCCATTGGCTGAAGTAATATGAGGTTACACTCTTTCCGTCCGCTTATACATATTTCCTGATAACATATTAAATCATATTCACATGTACAATAAGAATAAGAAAAATTAGACATTTAAATGGTTACTCAGTAGATATTTATGTCCTCATTTTAAACAATAAGTTCTTTTTCTGCTTTTCAATTCAGTGTGCCTTTCCTCTTATCTTATTCGGCTTAGTTTCCTATTCTCCCATTCAACCTGTCTTTCCAGGGTAGCCATTTCCTTTTACAACTATATATATATTTTATGGCTTCTCTTCTTCCTTTCTCAGACCCAACTATTTTTGCCTATATGTTTATCTTACTTCCTTTATGTTATCTTTTCCTGACTCTCACCATTTGTGTTTATTCTTCTATTCAGTTAGCTTCCATTGTATTGTAGGTTTAACTGACTCTGAAGATTTATCATATTGATGCATATTTATCATAATGATTAATAATAAGAAGAAATGGAGTTAGCTTACATGGAAGTGATGGAGGTCAGAGTGCTCTCATTGTACACAATTCAATTCCTGCTAGATGGAAGGAAGTAGATAGTCAGTGGGGAATATATAGAATACAGCATTATTCACAAATAGATGGAATTCATATTTGTATTTCTGTGCTTCTCAAGGGAGGACCAGTGAGCCAATGGAACCACATGCATAACCAGCATCACGCCAAACCCAACTGCTTCCGCAAGGACCCTGATCTCAACACGCACCCATTCCTTTTCAGCCTCGGGAAGAAACTTTCTTTGGAGGTAAATAAATAGAAAGTCCTAGACAGACAAAAGACCCTGAAAAAATATTAGCAGTACTAAAAGGAAAATAAAACACCATCATGTCTCTGATGAGCAATCTAGGAAAGTAGGAAGAAGGGATTCTTTCTATCTCCCATTTTTCTTTACAGCAACTCTTGCTGCTGCTGATTGGTTCAGGTACTACCTTATTTTCTGTAATGAATCTGTCAAACTTCTTTTCTTTTTTCTTTTTGGATAACAATTCCCTTCATGTTTGCCTGCCAGTTACATCACAATCTGTTGCTACATTTCATTTTCTCCCAACTAGTGAGGCTTACAAGAGAAGGCCCCATGATTAGAAAGTTGTTCCTGTCTTAACAGATCTTGATAGCTCCCCAGCACAGACTCCCTTCCTGCTCAGAGCATCATTTCATAGTACAAATTTACAACCAACATATCAATTTTACAGTTATTTTAAATATTTGGTTTTCTGACATTTCTCTCTCTCTTGGCCCCAACCAAATTGTATTAATGATTCTGACTTAATGAAACAAAATTCCATTGCACTTCTGCATTAATCTGTACATTTTTCAAAAATTATTTTTAAAGAATGTGTTTTGATCCACATTTTCTTGCAAAGTGCAGTCTAAATATGTATTCCCCTTCCCAAATGTTGTGCTTAGATGAATGCAAAGTCAAAGAATTTAACCAAGTTATTTGTGCCTATTTAGGACTGAAATAAAATGCACTGCCTCTCCAAAAATTGAGAAACTATCATTTTTAATTTGACAACAAAGATTAAGTAATTTAAGTCATGGGGATTCAATGTATGAATTGAAATAAACTGAATTAAATTGAATCAAATTAAAATGAAATCACATTTAATTTTGCTATTGTCTTGTCTGTGTTTTTTTTTTCCTGGCCCTGTTTATTTTGGAAAGGTAGCTTCTCTCAAAGATCAAGTGCAACCCTCAACCCACAAAAGCTGTGTGTATGGCAGAATTTGAAGAGACACAGATCAAATAATCTGTGACATAGTAATATGCAAAGATCAAACTTTTCAAGAATCTATATTGTAGAGAATGGGTCATGACAAGATGACCCTGATGTGGAATTTACGTAGTTGTCAATTTAACTGTTTGCCCTCTTTCTCCATGTTCAGCTGGGAAGGAAGAAAAAGAAGTATATGCCTTACCAGTACCAACATAATTACTTTGCCTGTAAGTGTTTTACTATGTTCACAGGAGCCTAAATTTGGAGGAGAATAACCAATAAAGTCATATATCAGCACTATAAAGCAGAACAGACTAAGAAACCAATGCCATATAAGCCAGGATTACTTTTATTGGAAGACCTAGAGTAACAGGATCTTGTGAATATGAATGTGTTTCCTCCCGTTATGTGAACCAGGAGCTGCCTGAGACATTTACTCAAATTACTTTCTTGGAAAGGGCTCATTGCCTTGATAGCAACTCCTGGCTTTCAAGGCCATTCTCTATTCCCTGTGCATCAGATCTTTAACTCAATCACTACAGAAATGCCCCATGAGCAGTGGGGCAATAGGTCAGGGATTAAGGTGGTTAATTTAATGCAAAATGGGATTCAAAGGCAGATGCCATTTTTTTCTTCTAGGATATAGTCTATCTTTATTTTAATCACACAATCATTTTTGTATTCTCTTTTTGCATTTTTATATTAGTTTTTGCACCATTGTTATTTACGGTTGGTGTCCACGTGGTTTGCTATCGCTATTTATTTCAAAGAAAAAAATGGTTGGTAAGTCATAACAGCTTTTTCTTTTAGGGGATTGGTATATGGTCAAGTATAACATGTAAATGTCCTGAATCCTCCTCCTTTCTAATGAGCTACAGGAGATGCATTACAAAACATAACTTGTTTCTTTTCCTTAATTCTCCACAATATCATGGGAACATTCACTGCCATTTATGATTTCATTGGCCTTCCCTTTAGTTAGCACCATGGAACAGAACATGTAACTGGTTTGTTTGGGAAGGGAAGGGAAGGGTGAGCAATAGGCAAATTGTACAATGAAAGCCAAGGAATGCTTGTCACAGCTGCAAAGCCCTGATCACAGTATCTACCCTGATGTTAACAATGAGCCTGTTCCACTGGGTTACCTCAGACATTAGTGAAGTTATTTCCAAGACTGTGAATCTTTTTCAAACCAACTTGAAAAACAGAAAACAAGCATACACTCCTCCAGGCAGTGGCAGTGGCAACAGTGGAGTAGAAAGTGATGAGGAGCAGAGGAAGAGATTGCCTGGAGATTGCATTTCTAACTGCTATGGATATTGTGCTGCATTTACAGAGTGATGGGGAAGAGATTATCTGGGGCACTAATATGGGGAGTACAGATACAATTTAATAATAATAACAGCAATGCTCCACAGTTAGATATAGAGTGGGCAGAAAACTTCAGTCCTCCCCAAAGTGCAAAAATAACTCTACTCAGGTTAAGTCATGTCACTATCCATTGCAATTCTCAGCCACTGCAAAAGACATGGAGACCTTTAGTAGCTTCAAGAATTACACTTCTGTCCTAAAGCAATTCTTTCCATTTTGATGTAAAGCAAGGTTTTTGCAGAACTGAGGCTAGTATGCTCCATCCTCACTTTTTCACCATTGTGGGAGTTTTGCTACATACACAAATGAAGAGACCCTGAAAGTCCTTCAGCACTACACTGCAGATTGCCTATTACTCTGCATTTATTGCATTATAGCCTTTAGCCTCTCTATTTGCCACTTTGCAGCTAATTAATCTGAAATTGACAAAGCAACTCATAATAATGATCCACATGTTGTTACAGTTGTGTTTATTTAACACTCTGTTCTTTGACAGGAGCTGTTTACCAATCTTTTCTATTACTTCCGTGTCTGCCTCATGTATGTTCCTTTAATGGGATTTAAGAGCTTTATGGTTTACCTCTGGTTATCCAGGTAATAATAATAATGTAAAACTCTACCTTGCTGCTATCACCCAACTGGTGCTTTTAAAAACTGTGAAGCCAAAAGGAGACCTTCAATATGTACATAGCTTTGCTTACCAGCCAAAAAAACTCCAATGAGGTCTCCATTTCTTATTGGCTTAATATGGGGATGTAAAACAAATAAACACCTGTTAAAATTAGCATACACTATTACTGTTCTTTTCACATGACACAATGGTTTCTACATGAGACCAAGTCCCATTATAATCACAAGGCTTTTATTTGCTATGGATGTAGTTACTTAACATAGATTTGAGAGATGCAATACAAATCTTCCACAAGATGCATGCCACCAAAGGGCAACATGTAATGTCTATGTCTATATTGTTTGGGCTTTTTAACTTAAAAAATGATATGCCATCCTTCCTCAACCTCACCTCAGACTAGTTTATAACATATAAAAATGAAAGTAAATGAAAAATACCATGTCATTTAAAAGAACATAGCTCACCACAATGATATTGAGCAAACTCCTGTTATTATTTGGTCATCACCAATTATCAAACTATTATTTACCAAAACTTTTACAGCCACTAATTATGTTTCAAATGTACTTCACTAATTGCCAGAGATTGGATCTAAAAGCTCGATCTTAGACTATGAGCAGTTTGGTACAGGAGTAGATATTTCTTTAAAGATTGGTCTGGTAGTTCTTAGTCTCAGAAAAAAACATTATTTATTTGTCCTGCAATTCATAATTGGATAAAAACTGCATCTCAGTGGCTTTATCCAAGGAATGAGGGCCTTTGGGGAGCTGCTTCCATATGCATATACAACCTGTCGCCTATCTTGTGTATCTCAAGGCAAAAGACTTCAAAGGCAGCTTTGCTGGCATGCCATTTTGTAGCCCTTAAAATCCTCTCAGAACTTCTTGGACCAATTAGCTTTAAGGCACCAGGGAAATGAATGATTTTTAGATTTCTTTAACATTTTCACAAATCAGTCCTCTGTTACACTCTGGCTAGCAATCTACCGGTACCTGAAAGATTGTTTTCTAAACAAACTGACAAACACACATATACATGCTGCAAAATGCCTAGATAGTGCACGTTATGGGGAAGGACTAGAAACCTCTTTGAGATTTTCTGTCAAGTTAGAGCAGACATGTCAAACATGGACGTCATGTGACACTGCATGATGTATCAGAGCTTTTCACCCATTGCTGGCAGACAATAGGATGGGCGCGGTTTCCTCGTGACACGTCCAGCCCGTGGGCCGGCAGTTTGACACCCCTGAGTTAGAGGAAGGAGCTGTTTGTAACTCATATGCCCACTAAAAGCTCTGGAGACAATGTACATAGTGATTTTTGAGCCAGAAGAATGAATGTTCAGTGGCTGGGATTCTTGGTGTTAGCTGTTGGCCAGTTCAAACTGGGCAACAATCGGCTCAGGGTGAAATGTGTGGAACCCAAACTTGCAAATATATAATTAATATTGAGCTAAGAGTATTTTGATCAATTGATAGTGAGAACACAGTAGAGAAATCGGGCTGGTTTTAAAATATATTGAGAGTTATTTGCAAATGGGAAGACTGATGATGGAAAAGGAGTTGTGAAAGCAAATACAGACAAATCTTTATCCCTTCTTTAGAAACTAAGCCGAATTTAAGCACTTTTATCCACCTTTCTTGCCCAATAGGTAATCCACATGTGGGCAGTTCATCAGCTTATGTAATGAATAATACTACTTGCTTAATTGAGAACTCTGAAGAATGTGAGTTTAAACAGCTTTATAATACTGAAAACTTCTAACTGGATACGAGGGCTTAAAGTGTGATAGATTAATGTACAAGATTGTTGCAAAGCACCATAGCTTTAATTCTCTGCTTTTACCTATAAAAATTACTTTTCCATATAGTCTGTTAATGCAATGACGTGGTAATAGTAATTATCATGTTTTTGGCTAATAAAAGCAAAATATTTTTTCTAGTGAGTAAACTCTTTAAAGAATTTGTTTGAATCACTATTGTTAATGCTTGTATGTCTACACAGGTATTTAGAATATGCATGGTTTATCTGGGTCTCACAGATGAACCACATTCCAATGAATATTGACTATGATCAGAATTTAGATTGGTTCTCTGCCCAGGTGAGATAGTTTCTATTTAAATGGGAAGTTTCCTTTCTTTGGATAATCTTATTCTCAAATGTTGGGTCCTTAGTTCTGAAACATAGGGAGAGATTATGCTGCTATTTTCTTAAATATTTCATGCCCTTATCTTCATGGGAACATGGTCTTATAAAGAGCAACTAATGCAAATGGAACGTCTATGCTGGCAGCTAGAAATCTCTTCTCATATTGCAGTTTCTGGGAAATTGCTCAGTGAGGCCCTTTTTCTTTTCATGGAGAAGAGTTAGGGGGACCAACAATGATCTCATTGTCCATGGTAGATGATGAGATGATAAACAATGTAGTACATTGCCTGTTAATCTCCCTTGCTTCTTATGACAATTCAGTAAGGCAGGAATAGCACCAATACTATTCATCCTCCAAAAGGACAGTGTACAATTCCAAGTCCCCACAAGTATACTCCAATTCACATAATTGTTCTTTTTGTGGTTATGAACCAGATTTTCAGTGGCATCAGAAATTAACTTTGTAAGATGCATTGATCTACAGCAGGGGTATGAAACTGCAGGCCTGTGGGCCGGATGCGTCATGCTGACCCATGCCCACCCCATTGTCAGCAATGGAGAAAAAGTTGTGATATGTCGCGACACGTCACGTGATGTTGCAAGACTGACAGCTCTGATCTACAGAATGAGAACATAGAGCCAAAAAACTAACATATTGTTTCCAGATAGGAGTGGCCAAACATTGATGGTGAGGGAGGAAACACTGCCATTTTCTCTTGATATTGTAGAGAAGAACATATTGGTGGAAGTCTAATGCTCCTGGTGGTAGTTACAGCAATCTCCCCAGAAAGTGTAGAATGACTGTGTACATGTGGGGAAAAAACCAACCCAATGATTTTTTCTTTCTTTTTTTAAGCATTTTTTTAATGCTTTCTTGGTGCCCTTTTTCTTTAGAGCTTTGTATCAAATATTATGGGACTGGAGATTGTGTTAAATACATTCTGTGTCTGTAACACTACAATTTCACATTGTTGTTTAGACAAGATAATTAAGGAATGAGTCTAAATGAACAGATTATATGAACAGTCCTCTGGCAAGCATTAGGCAATTTAAAGGTGATACTAGAAACCTGATCACAGTGATGTAAGTTAACAAGAAAAACAGCATATAGTTGTTGTAACATTAATAACAGATGATTTCTGCATAGATAACCTGACCTATCACAAAATGAGAATGAGAGATAAAGAAAGAGAAGACAGGTTTTCTATCTTTTTAACAGTAAATCATTGCTAGTTGTATATCATCTTGTAGGTCCTCCAAATATAAACTAGTGCCATTCTTTATTATATAATTATTGTTTGTACATCCTTGTGTTAGCCATGTATATATTTCATTTGGATTCTACCTTTTCTTTATGGGGTTTACTTCCAGTTTTTAAGGTGGCTCTAAAGTTGGTTTATTCATACACAGTTTTCCTGTTCTAATTTCTGCTTTGTTTTGTTTTATATTTGTAGTAGCATGATATAACTCCTGGGGGTGGGAAGTTGTTAACTGCTAATGCATGTTTATATTATTATTTTTATTTAAAATTAAAGGGTACATTAATTCATATGATTTTGTTATACCCAGTTTTGATTTCTGTTTGGAATAAAGTTAAAGCCCATAAAAGTAGATTTATGAAGAAAAGTTTTATATTAAATATTATTTTGAATATATTCCAAAATCGTGGAAGTGGTCTAAATCTGTTTGTTAATGGCTGGAGAATTGGATGCTACTGTCCTTGATCCTAAACTAATGTTCTAACTTTCACAGAAATAATCACATAATATTTCCATGTTTACTTCTAAAGAAATAGTTCAATAAGGATGGCTCTCAGGGAAGTCATTTTGGATTTCATCCCATGCATATAGCATCAGTGGAGTAGTTGGCCTGGATTGCCTGGCCTGGATTCAGAAATATTTCTAATGTCTTTCTGGGCAGTGACCATACTAGAAATGTAAAAAAAAAAAAACCATTTGGAAATGAATGATGGTCTATAATACTGTAAATTGATAGAATTACTGTACTGTTGGTAGAAACTAGGAAGAAACATGAAGGAAGTCATTGAAACTCTACATGTTTTAATTTCTCCCTTAGCTCACAGCAACATGTAATGTGGATCAATCTCTATTCAATGACTGGTACACTGGGCACTTAAATTTCCAGATTGAACATCAGTAAGTACAAGGTTTAATCCAAACTATGGCTGTGGCCAAGAGTTTTGGCTATGTCTAAAGAAGGCAGATATCTTGTTCCAGTTATACATGCTGTGGCTATTCCAGACTAGACTTTGGGACCTATCATGTAAAAATGCCTAGAAGCAGTATTTCATACAAAATACAGCAATGAAACTGATGTCTAGAGCTGGGACTTTCATATCTTACTTCACGTTTTATAGCAGATCAAATGGTTGATAATTATAATTCATTTCTGGTCCAAGTCAAATGCTGGGGTTTTTTTCAACCTTCAAAATTCTTAACTAAGTTTACAAAACCTGTAAGCACCTCCACAATATGGCTGAACTACAGCTCCTAATAGCCTAATACAAAGGGTCTCATTAGGAAGGATCGTGGTTCTGCAATAATCTGAAGAACCTCAGCTGGTTCATCCCTGTCCCAAACTCTTTGGGAACCAGGCAGGTGAAAGATTATCTCTTGTATGAACCTGCCTGTATGTCCTGAGATGGGAAGGGCACTAATGACAGCTGGATCCTTATTACAGAAGTATCTTTTATTCTTGATATTTTCCACAGTCTTTTTCCAACCGTGCCTCGTCACAATTATTACAAGGTGGCTCCCCTGGTGAAATCCCTGTGTGCCAAGCATAACATTAAGTATGAGTGCAAGCCCATGATCACTGCTTTTGCAGATATATGGCGGTAAGTACGAGCCCACAGGAAAGTCCATTTGCAGGCATGTCATCATGGGGAGATCAGTGGGCAAGAGAATATCTCAAGTGGACAGTGGCGGGAAAGAACTCACTACTGTGAAAATGTGTTTTTGGTCAATGTGTCCCTTGTTCTCTTTCCCTCTGCAGCTCCCTGAAGGAATCAGGAAAGGTCTGGCACAATGCTTATTACCAGGAATAAAATAAATACCAGCGAGGAATTGGGATGGCTCCATTGTCATGAAGACCTGCTGTTTTCGCTTAGCCTTTGTGATTTTAAAATATTTTTAATAATAATAGTTTTTATCTATTGATTGGGTTGCATACAACAACACTACACTCAGTTTTTCATGAGTTTGACAGCCATGTATATTTGATGAATACATAAATAAATTATCTTGAAAAAGAATCTCACGCTATCATCCCAATCAACTTCATGGATGGATGGATGGATGGATGGATGGATGGATGGATGGATGGATAGATGCAGTGGTGGTGAACCTATGGCACGCATGCCAGAGGTGACACTCAGAGCCTTCTCTGTGGGCATGTGTGCCATTGCTCCAGCCCCACCTCTCCCACAGCCCCCTCCTCACCAGCTGCCCTCCTATAGGAGAATCGCCCCCGGATGAAGCCCGCACACAGCAGCGCAGCCAAGGACATGGCAGCCAGACAGCAGGGACAAGACTCCACCCTCCCGCCCCGACATGTGCAGATGATACTGTGGGGCATGGGTGGAGGACATGGCCGCCATGGTGCTGCAGGGATGAGGCAGTGGGTGGGTGGGGGGAGTGGAGTGGGGACAGAGCAGGGGTGGGGTGGGAGGTGGTTGGGCGGGGGGTGGGGTGAGGGTGGAGTGGGAGGTGGGGCAGTTTTGGAGCTAAAAGGTTCGCCCTCACTGGATGGATGGTTGGACAGACAGACAGACTAGAAAAACAGAGGCCAAGATGTTAAATGACCTAGACTATGCAGAGTCACAGCGGCCCTTCTCCCAAAAGTATGTGACCAACACTCATTATGACATGATCACATTTTGGTGCTTGGCAACTGGCTCACCTTTTACATGGCTGGCTTGGGAATTCTGGAAGTTGAAGTCCACAAATCATAAATGAATCATAGTTCCCCACAAAAAATGCCCATTGGGTAAAACAGATTTGCTACTGCATTCGCTTAACGACTGCTGCAATGAAGGTTGCAAAATCAGGTGCGGTCATGTGGTGATTTGCTTAACGACTGTAACAACTTACTACCATAGTTCTGGACAAAATCACGGTCATAAGTCAAGGTCTACCTGTATGCACTTGATTGCACATACAAGCAAATATGTTTTTGCTACTAAACCTCAGTAACAAATACAGCTTCTTAATAAATAGTTTGAAAGTCATTTGCTGATCACAGATTGACATCTCCCATTAAAAGCATTGGACTGCTGTCCCCAAGGAACAGAAGTGGCACAATTCTGCATCTGTCTGCTCAGAATTAGGGTCCTATGAAAAAAGTGTTGTAGCTTAGCAAGGCATAAAGCCCAGACCAACTGTGATTTATTCAATAAACCATTGTTTAGCACACCTTGGCAGTCAACAAATAAATCTCTCAAAAGTGGCTGTTTAGCTTTTAGAGAGCATCTGAAGAGCTTTTTAGAAGATTTATTAACAGCTTCTCCCTCACTCAATTCTTCTGAGCTCTTGTGCATGTTATCTAAAATTTGGTGAACTGTATAACTTTTTAACTGTAAGATGTTTTTTTCCTACAAAGTCCAAAACCTAGTGCCAAAATATCTGAAGGGCTGACTGTCAGTTTCATGTGAGCCTACCCAGAGTCTCAAAAAGTATGTCTAAAATCATAAGAAGGCGAGACAGACAAAATTAGGGTGCCAGCAACTGTGACAGATTCACAAAGTCACTGGGAGTCCGGTGACCTATATAGTTAAAAAATCATAATAATATAGGTAATCCTCAACTTACAACCACAACTGAGTCCAAAATTTATGTTGCTCAGTGAGTCATTTGTTAAGTGAGTTTTTCCTCATTATATTACTTTTCTTGCCACAGTTGTTAAGTGAATCACTGAGGTTATTAAAATAGTAACCCCGTTGTAAAGTGAATCTGGTTTCCCCATTGACTTTGCCTGTCAGAAGGTTGCAAAATGTGATCATGTGACCCTGGGATACAGCAACCATCCTAAATGTGAGCCAGGTGTCAAGCATCCGAACATAAATCATCACCATGGGATGCTGCAATGGTCGTGTGAAAAATGGTCTTAAGTCATTTTTTTCAGTGCTGTTGTAACTTTGAATGGTCACTAAGCGAACTGTAAGTCGAGGACTACCTGTATTAATAGGGACTGCAATCTCCTTTGGGCAGAGGCATGTTTTCTCCCCCTTCTGTTACTTCATAAAGAATGATGTGTACATTAGATAACAATACCACTATTATTATGACCAATAATAACAGGGGAAAACACACTGAAGCATAAGGCAACTGGTGTTCAAGGACAGACGCTTCCTTTACACATCAGCAAAGGAATAAGGCCCTCGGGTCCTTTGCATCCAATGCCCATTTCTGCAGACAGATAAAGTAGGCTTGATGGGCAATCAACTACAAAATTGCTGAGTTAAAGATGCCACAGCTCTTTTTATCATCTGTTGTACATTTATTTTCCTAGGACAGGGGTCAGCAACCTTAAACACTCAAAGAGCCACTCTTGAAGGTTACTTTCAAACAAAATACTCAATGTCTATTTGAGTCCTCTTCATATTTATGAAATAAAAAGCCAAACTTAACTTATCCGCCTGCGGCAAACCCAAAATGCTGTCTGCTTCTGTGTGCTGTCATATTTTTATCGCATGTACTGGAGCGTGCAGTCAGCTGTCAACAAATTAAAAAATGATTATTTCACTGAAAAATGTCAAATATATATTTGCAAAATAATAGCCAATTAAAATATTTATTTTACCTGGTTAATGTGATTTTTGCTTCTCAACATCAGCACACAGCATCTGCACATCAGGGCTATAAGACATCACCATCTTCAAACAGGATTGCAGGCTGTTGTCTGTGAGGTGTGAGCAATATTTGTTTTTAATATAGTTCATGTTGGAGAAGACTTTGTTGTGCAGTAGGAGATCAGAATACGTGCTTTCCACCTCCTCTAGTAGCAAACGGAACTGATGGTGATTTAAACCTTGTGCCATTATTTTATTGACAATCTGAATGACAACATTCATTACTTCTGTGCATTCTGGAGGAAATGTTTGAGCGTACAATGCCTCTTGGTGCAGGATGCAGTAAAATGTTAACAGCATTCTACCCAGCGATTTCTGCAGTAAAGCCACAAAGCCCTTCTGTGTTCCTGTCATACTCGGTGCCCCATCAGTAGCCACTGACACCAGGTGAGTGGTGTTTATTTCATTGGTTCTTAAATAATCCAAGACAGCCTCACAGATGTCCTCCCCTGTGTTTGGCCTTTTAGTGGTATCAACTCAATCATTTCTTCCTGTGACCCAGCAGAGTTCACATATCAGCAGAACAGCGCTATTTGTTCAATATTACCTTTGTCTTTGGATGCATCACAGGCGATTGAGTACGCCACAGCTGAATTGATATCTTTAATTGGCTGTCTGGTGATGTTTGCTGACATTTTTATGGTTCTGTCTTTGACAGTCTCCACAGAGAAAGGCATATCTCTGGTTTTCTGCACAATTTCACTGTTGTTTTTGAAGTCCGAGAATAGATGTTCTGAAATCTTAATGAATGATTCTTTGATATATTCTCCATCTGTGAACGGCTTCCTGTGCCTGACTATTTCCTGAGTAGCCACAAAACTAGCATATGTAGTTGACTTTGCAGACTTCACCCACTTCTTAAAATGATTCTTGTTGGAACAACCTTCCGCATCAATCCCAAAATGGCTTTTTTTCTCTCATCTCCATCCGGGTATTTTTCAGCAAAGGCTGTGGAAAGACATTCTGGAAATGTCTTGCAACATTTGACTTTTTGTTTTTGCCAATTTCTCACCACATATTAAACAAACTGGTAAACCAGTCTTGTCAGTAGTGAAAGCAAATGAATCTGCCCACATATCATTAAACATTCTGTTTTCTTCCAAAAATTTTCTTTTCTTGCATGATTTATCCATGGTTGGCCTACTGGGGGTCAAAATGATATGCAGGTTCTGAGGTTTTGCTTGATAAAAAAATGCAGGAAACCAGAAGTTGCCTTCAAGCTTTACATTTTTATTCAGCTGAATGGAGATGGAGTCCTCTAAATGAGAAACGCCCCGAATGACAAGAAATCCTTGTATTTATTCTTTCTAATTACATAAGCAACCCATCCAGCAAAGATGACACACATAAGATAAAGATTTCACCCAGTAAGTCTGGCACACTGTAGATAAGATGGGAGAAAGCAGAAGTAGCTAAACATGTTCCCTTTTGGGTGTTTCCCTAAAGATATCATATGTTCTTGGGTGGGTTAGGACATTGGGTGTTTTCCTTGCTGTTCTTTCATGACCCTGCATCCAGGACTCTGCAAGTGACCAGAGAGAGAGGGGGGCCATCTGTACATATTCACAATTGATAATGTCCCCTAAGTCCTGGTCATCAAAATCCCCCCTTTCATGCTTTAAGCAGTGTGCAGGAGCATGACCACCCAACTGAAGAGACAAAGGATAAGCTTCTGTAGTACGTTGCCCACATCATTTAGGACAAGCAGAGGTTATTAAGGGCAAGCAGTGAAGGATACAGCAGGAAACTGGAAGAAGGAATACTACAAAGTGAAGACCAAGGAATAATTCTCTAAACCATCCCCATTCTGGGAGCCAACTGGGAAGAAATGAGAATATACTATTGAAGACCTCCCATACAGTAGAAATCTTCAGATCGTTAGGGTAATTACTAATTCCTATGGTACATGTACCAGACCAGTAAGCTGGCAAAGACTCATAGGCAAACCGACCACAAAGGAGCCATCAGTTCAGCTGGATAGCAAGATAAATGCTTGGTTTGCCTTCCCCTCAGGCATATAAGCTTTAACACCAGACATATAAGCCATGAGTCCCATTGCTGCAAACAAACTACAGAGAGCAGAGGAGTCCTTCTTGTAGTCAAGGCCAAAGTTCTGATGACATCTATGCCAATTGTCCCACATGCTAGTACTGACCTTCCATGTGACTGTGCAAGGTGCATAGATCCCTAACTTATATCTGGAAAAAGAATTAAAATGACTAAGGCAAGCTGCTGCAGGGTGCTGTATATGTGCCCCTACTTTAGCAATCTGCAGCTTTCCTGCCCCAAACACAGGAAGTGTCCATTGTTCATGCTGAACATAAAGGCTCCTAAGGGTGTAGCTTCCATGACCAATCCATGTGTACCAGTGGGGGGTATATGTGTGCAGATCTAGCAATTTG